AACTTCAAATGATATGGGCATCATCCCATTGAATGTTATGTCCAGTGTTACGGGTTTGTTTTGCTACTTGCTGCCTAATCTGAGGGCTCTGTTGTGCTCTTTAAAAAGAGGACACAATAGGGGCAGCACAATTTAAATATCAAGGAATGTATTAGAGTTTATTTCTAAAATTCAATGAAAGGGCTATTTGACTTTCAAGAGCAATAAAAACTCTAATCCATCCCTTGGAATTTAAATTGCACTGCCCCATTCAGTGTGCCATTTTCAAAGAGCACAAAAAGGCTTCAGATTGAAGATTCCATCTCATAAAATTGTCTTTAAGAGAGAAAGAGAGTTTATTTCGAGAGAAAAAATGAAATGAAAGGGCTATTTGACAAGAAGCCTTTCATTTCATTTTAGAAATAACCTCTCTTTCTCTCTTATAGACAATTTTCTCTCTTGAAAGTCAATAACCCTTTCCTTTCATTTTAGAAATAACCTCTTTTTTTTCTCCTAAAGACAATTTTTCTCTTGAAAAGGCTCTGCCAGGCCCCTCAAGCTCTGCCATGTTGTATGGATCCATTAGAAAGCAAAATAAGCCCACTCAATAATTAATATATATTAAAACGTCATAGCGATTCATCCAAATAAGAAATCCATGTAAGAGGCATTTTGAAAGTTTTAAGAAAATTTCTTCTAATTCCAGGATATTGGATGTTATTTTTCAGGAAACTCTATTTAAACGAGTGGAAGCACTGGCGGTTCTGTTTTTTTTAAACTGTAACAATTCTCCTTGGATCAGATATAGACTAAAACAGCAAATTATTTACACAATTTCTTGCTGTCTGCTGCCTCGAGATCACTGGAGCGAAGAAAGGTAACATAGCAAGAATCCCTATTCAGTGAAGGATTCATCCTTTTTATGCAGATGCTTCTTCTACCATTCTTGACCAGAAGTGCGTTTCAACTTCAAATGATATGGGCATCATCCCATTGAATGTTATGTCCAGTGTTACGGGTTTGTTTTGCTACTTGCTGCCTAATCTGAGGGCTCTGTTGTGCTCTTTAAAAAGAGGACACAATAGGGGCAGCACAATTTAAATATCAAGGAATGTATTAGAGTTTATTTCTAAAATGAAATGAAAGGGCTATTTGACTTTCAAGAGCGATTAAGATTAAGAAAATTTCTTCTAATTCCAGGATATTGGATGTTATTTTTCAGGAAACTCTATTTAAACGAGTGGAAGCACTGGCGGTTCTGTTTTTTTTAAACTGTAACAATTCTCCTTGGATCAGATATAGACTAAAAACAAGCCTCATTATCTTCAGTATACAAGTGTCATTTCGGACCTTACAGCTTTCATAGAAATCGCTTCTGGACCGTCAAAGAAAAAGTTTGAGAACCCCTGGTCTACCCATTATACACATTAGGACCAACTTGACAACTTGACAAAAATTTGAGGGGGGTTCGACCCCCCCCCCCCTGCGTACGCGCCTGCATGTGCATCCCTTCCTCCTTATTCCCTTATCCATCGTTACCGTCACTACCATTTTAGTAGGGCCGGCCCCCTCCTTTTAACGACTCCCAAGCCATCAAGAATGACCCCATAATTTATAGATTACCATTCTGCCGTTCTTTGGAGGGGCCGGGCGCGGCCTTTTTGGAAGTGTTTCTACACTAACCTTTTCATGCACTACGGCTTAACATAAACAAGCATGCTAAGATTTTTTTGAAAAGAAGCATAATTTCGACTCAGTCTCGCATAACCTAAAAATAAGAATACGGCCAGTCACCCCTCCCCCCTCCCCTCAATGCATCCGCCTTTACGCACCCCCCCCTTCCCCTTGTCTTTCCCTTATTCGTCGTTACTGTCACTAATTTTTAGTACCATTTCGTTGTCTTTCTTCCTCCCCGGCTCCTCTCTTCTTTTTCTTTCCTCTTTTTTGAACTCTCTCTCTTTTCTTTACTTTTTTGTTCTCTTTTCTTTTATCTTCCCCTTTTTTCCCCCCTTTTTTTTTTTTTTTTTTTTTTTTTTTCTTCCTCTTTTTTCCTTTTCAATTTTTTGCGCCGCCAATAGGGGGGGCCGCGGCCGTTTCGGCCCACCCCTGGATCCGCCACTGTAATTTGCACCCGTCCAAGCTAGTTTGTGATGAGCGCATCGATCTTGTGAGGATGCAATTTTGAGCTTCGGGATAATATCTGAAAATAGTCTGAAAATAGCAAGTTATTTGGCAAACTCGAGCTGATGAAACCAGGTCTTTAGACATCTACATGTACATGTAGTTAACAATAGTTAACAGGCACATACATGTACCCTTGTCAGTGTAGGTCTGTAACATAGTGTTTGAACTACAGGTGTAGTGTGAAAAAGACTTTTCTGTTTTGGGGAGCCCCTTTGGATTTGGTGTTGTATGAGTAGGATTTTTTTCTTCTTCTTCACAATGATACCTACAGGTGTATATCATTGTTTTTGACCAAAGCTCTTTTTCTATTTACCAGAGTACCTTTTTTTATATATTTTTTTTTAATTGGGTACTCAAGGATAACATAAATACAATCATGTACAGGAATGTGAAATGACATCAAAAAACATCATGTAGTCCCCTACAACCAGAGCACCTTTGGACCTTTCAATAGCTTCAATATCGCTCATTGCCTTTCATGTGTATTTTTTTCATTTGTTGGTCTTAACATGAAGAACATGCATATACTGTACATGCAAGTAGACTGCATTGTCGAATGTCAACTACATAGGCCATATACTCTTACTTGATGCCTTTAGTTCCTGGCAAATTGATTCTAAAGGCTTTATAGCATTGTGGGCAAGCTGATACAGTCTGTGCCTGCAGGCTAAATAAACTGCAATATAATGATATAAAAAAAGAAATAAACTTTGTCCTGCTTACAGCAGATTAATGATCTCTTATATTTCTGGATGATATTGATATTTAGAGATAAATTTTGCTTTACTTTTTGATAAGAGGTGAACTATTGATATGTGTGTTTACTTTATTTTGTATTTCTTCTTAGTAGCAGGTTTGTTTGTTTTTGATTTTGAGTTTTGAGTTATGATTTCATGTATCTGATTAACTAGACGGATTCATTATTGAACTACGGGTATACAGTATGTTATGAGGATAAGGATTTGTTTACAACATGCGTTCATTTTCATGACATGAACAAAGTTAAAAGATAAAGATCGTGCCAATCAGTGAATCCTACTTGTACTACTAACCTTTGAAGAAACTCAGCACACTGGAATACTTCATGGAGGGAGGTCAACCTTTGAACATTCTTTGAAGTAGGTTACATTCTCTGCATGGAATTTTTTGCTTGATGTCTTAATTTTCAAGTATACATGTACATGTATATATTTTGCATCAATGGATACATTCATTGCAGTAGATTTTGAGTTTTACTTTTGGAAACATTTGAGTATCTGATTTTGGAAGGAAAGAGCTTGTCCTATGACTAGCTGTGATTTTTGACTTGACAACTAAAACTGGGGATTTGAAGTTGCACAGAAGAGCGCAAGAGTTGCAAACTTGAAATGAACACTTAATCTTAATGACCCACTTGTTTCTTTTGTCCAGAATTAACTAGGGATATAATCATAATATTTACAGCTATTGCATTAGTATAAGGAATACATTTATATACAGCACATTACTGGAGTACTTATTCGCATTACAATTTTAATTTTATTGGTACCCCTATCGATTGGATTTCAAGCCTGCTCACAAATGTGCACCATCTCCACTCCATTAGGAGTATTCCTAGTCCTACCATTTTACACCCGGATATGTACTGCAAACATGTATGCGCAAGGTTACAATCCTTGTAATATCAATAACGGTAATATTTGGGTAGAGGTGTTGTGGTATAGTAGATAAGTCATCAGACTGAATATCACAAGGTTTGGGGTTCAAGTCCCTGCCATGATGGGTACGTGTAGGTGGCAGAAATTAATTCCATAAAGTGCTAGAGCATCATACATGTAATAGCAACCAATCTAAAGCCAGGGAAATAAAAATGGACAGCCAGGAGTGTCCAGTGTGACAGACATGAGTGCTATTCACAAACCCAATATTACTATCATTATGATTATTCTACTTGTTTATATTCCACATACTAAGAATCTTGCTCTACGATTGGTCAAAAGTAAATCACGTGATGAAAGATAGATCGCCCATTATTGATGACTTGACCTTTGAGCTACTGACCTCTTGAAGCACTTTGTGCTGAAACTGAATTTGGTGAAATTCCAAAATTAATCTTGTGTGCAGCAAAAATAGAAACTTGGAAAGGATTGTATTTGGATTGACTTGCACTTCTTTTCTGTCAAAACATTAGAGAGCTTTCACTTTAAGAGGACCATTCATGATAAATTGCACGAGGGGGAGTGGGTGGGTGCTGGCCTGGGAAGTATTTTAGGGTTGTAACCAATCACGTGAGACCGGTCAGATGTAGTGAATCATGTTCTGTGGTATACATAAAACATCTGTTTTTTGTGAATACAAGATCACACACTTTCTTTCACGGATTCAAACCGTTCGACTAATAACCTAGCTCTGATACTCTCTGAATTTGGCTATTACTCTAACCTGTTTTGATCATTCTTTTGTAATTACTAGTAAGTACTAAATAATCTCAATCTGTATTTGCATCTATTAGAACTTCATATTGACTAGTTGTATAACTTTAAGGAGTATTTAATAATTCATTGTATTTGTTGTTTCATTTTGAAATTTTATATTTCAGAGTGTACATGTATAATTAATGCATTTTCAATGATTGCTTCATAACCTACAGTATTTCAATATTTATGTTTTTTATTTTTATTCATGTTTTTTTTTATTATTTACATGTACTTGTATATTGGAAATAATCCAATTTAGTAGATTATTTTCAATCCAAATTGAAAATTGAAAAATAATCTGAAATTGTGGATTACTTTCAATAAATGAATTTAAATTTGACTTTGAATTTATACTCTAACCGACTTCTTCTGCTTCATCAGCAGAACTCTGTCACGAGAGATACACAAGCACAATGGAAGATGTTAGTGAAGAGAAGGGACTGTTAGAAGGGGAGGAGAGCAAGCGTAACCATGGCACCTTACCTGCGAATGGACACTCCATACATCACAACCATACGATGTACCAAGAAATGGATACCGCAATAGATAACGATGATAACAACGATACATGTAACAGGTAAGCAACCATCTTGAGGCTTGGTAAATTGATTTGCAGCCATTCAAAGGGCAAGTTTCTCAAACCATCAATACCGTAATTAACGGTGTATTAACCGCACCTTTTTGCCGCCGAAAAAAATTCATAGTCGGGGGTGCAGTTTATACACGGTACACAAAAAAAAAAAAAAAATTAAGTTTCGATTTACCACCTGGCGCTATGCATGGCAATGTATCCCAGCTCAGTAATCGGTGTGTTGACTCACCACTCGGAAACTAGAACAACACTCATATTTGTCTGTCATCTTGGTTTGAAAGTAATCTTTCTGATAGATTTCAATATGTAGTTGATAAAAATAATTCCTCCAATTTTTCTTCTATTATACGGCGTACCACAAGGTTCTATCCTAGGTCCTCTACTGTTAAGTCGACAAAAAAAAAGTCGGCAAAAAAAAAAGAGGGGTGCGGTTAATACACGAGGGCGGTTTATACAACGTTAATTACGGTAGACTGAATTTCCTGGACATCCCTTTTATTGAAATGGATATTACTGCAGAGTCTCACATTTTTCTATGGGATGTCCAAGAACTTAACCTTTTGATTGTTTCAAAAGATTGGACCCAGATCTCGGATAAGGTGGGGTACAGGGGCCCTAATAATGTGCTCCAGAGCACCTTGAAAAAGTCGTTTGGAGCCCCGAATATATGTACATTTAATGATGATAGATCTAGATGTCTTTGTGTATAAAATGCGATGAATTGTATTAAATAACATAATATAATAATAATAATAATAATTGTAACTTTATAATGCGCAGTTTCTATATGTATATACTCAACTGCGCATGACATAAAACTTGGATATTATTACCCCGGCTTTAGCTGTGCTGCCATTATAGCGCTCTAGCATTTCAAGGAATAAATTCCTACCGGGTACCCATTTACTTCACCTGGGTGGAGTGTGGCAAATGTAGATCAATATCTTGCCAAAGGACATTAGTGCGGCGGCGGGACTCGAACCGCGGACCTTGTGATCGACAGTCCGGCGACGTATCCACTCGACCACAACACCTCTACACATATAAGCCTTCTTGTTGCACATAATATGTGGTTGTATTTGTTTTTTTAAAGTTTGTGATATCCTTAATTAACATAATGATAATTTCATGGATTTCCATAAAGTTGGTTTTGTAACATACTGAACATTGGATGACATTGACTAGCTCTCAATGTACCGGTACTTTTCAAAAATAGATCGTTATCTTTCCACCTTTAGGAACTGAAAAATAAAAACAATTTACAACCTTGTTAAATCCTTGAACTGGTTAGATAAAGTGATAAAGCATGTGTCTATTGTGATTGGGAACAAAGAGGCAACAAACTGTATCAATTTGACCTCAACACACAGTAGCTGCACTTAGAATTTTGCAAGCAAAAATCATTACTTTTTCTCACATTCCAGTATTTTGTTGGAATTTGCTATTAAAGCAACTACCAGCAGACATGACGAAAAACCGAAACCAAAAAACCCACCTCTTGGGGTGTGGTGTTTTAAATGCCAGCAGAAATTTCACAGATTTTTGCAGTGTACTCTCAAAAAATAGGTGAATGATGATGATTTTTGGCATGTGACTCTCTTCACTACCATGTGATCTCATTCAGAACAATAAAGTCACGCATGTGCACTTGATGGGCTGATAGTGGCCCCCGCTGTTTTTAATATGTACCGGTATTCCTAAATTGTTGTAAATGTTTATAATTGATTTTTAATGTTTTGTTGGAAACATGATTAAAGTGAAATTGAAAACTGATATGTTGAAGTTTATGTAAAAGGAAAAGTTTATTAACCTCAATACAGCGACTGCATGACAATCTGCACGACAGCAGCTGTTTTTAATAAGTATTCCTAATTTGTTGTAAATGTTTATAATTGATTTTTAATGTTTTGTTGGAAACATGATTAAAGTGAAATTGAAAACTGATATGTTGAAGTGTATGTAAAAGGAAAAGTTTATTAACCTCAATACAGCCACTGCATGACAATCTGCACGTCAGCAGCTGTTTTTAATAAGTATTCCTAATTTGTTGTAAATGTTTATAATTAATTTTTAATGTTTTGTTGGAAACATGATTAAAGTGAAATTGAAAACTGATATGTTGAAGTGTATGTAAAAGGAAAAGGTTATTAACCTCAATACAGCGACTGCATGATAATCTGCACGTCAGCAGCCTTTTTTTTTTTGCAATAATTTGAAGACAAGGCAGGCTACATGTACACTATACGATAGTAATAAAAATGTATGTAGGTGGGTTTCCAATATTTTTAGGGTATAATTGAGAATTTGAGATACATTTAGTTTGTCCCTCGAACATGTACATGTACATTGTATGAAACAATAATGATGAAGTATAATAGAAATGGAAGTTTTCACCATGTAAATTAGACTTACAAGTGTACATGTAGGTTGGTAAGAGATTCTTCTTCTTCAAAACTTTGCTGCCCTTATGTAAATGCTATCAGAGCATAGATTTTATATATCAATAGTATTTATATTTGGAATTTCTGGGGGGGGGGATTTCTGTCTCTTTAATTTTGTTATTTTATATGCAAAATACTACATATTCTCTACAAAATGTAAAAATGTTAGATTATCTTTTGAATTATCCAAGAAACAGTTGAAATATCATTATGACCTTGAAAGAATTAATTTATTCAAAACAAGACAAATTTGTTTTATTACTTGATAAATGGAGAGATGTACAATTGAATTGAAACATGTTATAACACTCACTATGAACATGGCAGACAAAGAAAGCGGACAAAATATACAGTTCCTCAGGTAGACAAAGGAACATCCCTTCACTGCTATTATGTAAAAATGTGTAGAACAGGTGAATATGCCTGTGACACCTGTTCCACACATTTTTACATAATAGCAGTGAAGGGATGTTCCTTTGTGTACCTGAGGAACTGTATATTTTGTCCGCTTTCATTGTCCGTCATGTTCATAGTGACCATTATGTTAGGTAATATTTGTATTACTGTGTCATACATATTGCCATTACATCACTTTTTTTTATTGTGTACTTTAGATATTTTGCTTAGAGATTTCTGAATTTTTATTTGAAGAAAAATAAATAAATACATAATCCCCTTTTTAAAGAATTGCCATAATGACATAATGAACTTGATACATGACCATTGTTAAGTTGGGTATAAAACGTACACAAAGGGATTGAATTTCACAATGAGGCTATGGTCCGTTTCTGTTAAGGTTTCTGTAAAAATCCATTTTCAATTAAAATTGTGCACATGCCTGTGTACATATACCGTAAAACACATTATCGTTCTTTTTCTCATTGCAAGTGCATTTACATCCAATGTTACAAAAAAACTTTTACAATAATATTATTTGTGGGGGCTCATTCATCGTGTACTATTGATGATTGCTGTATTAGTAATTACAGTAATAAATGAATTATTCAATAACAAATAGGTATTTGGAATATTTCTAGATTTGAGACATCACAAAGAACATCCTTCTCCTGGGATAAGATGCTTCTGGATGACTTAGCGTACGGAGATGGACAGACGCCGCCTGGTAAATTCAAAAGAGCGTTTGCAAGATGCAAGCCTTCTGATCAAACAAAGTTAGTATCTGTGGTTGTGATCTATTCTGTGAAAGTCATATCATGATAATCAATAACATTAAGTAATAATGATGGTGATGATGATAGTGATAGTTATAATAATAATGATGATGATAATGATGAATAGATAATCAATAACATTACTTAATAATGATGGTGATGATGATAGTGATAGTTATAATGATAATGATGATGATAATGATGAAAAGATAATCAATAACATTAAGTAATAATGATGGTGATGATGATAGTGATAGTTATAATAATAATTACAATTTTGTTTATATCACATACTTTATTTATTGAAAATAACAACTGAAATCATGTAAAAAAAGTAACATTCAAGCGTAGACTACTGCCTGAATACATGGGACAGTACAGAAGAAGAAAAGAAGGAGGAGGAGGAGAAGAAGAAGAAGGAGGAGGAGGAGGAGGAGGAGAAGGAGAAGAAGAAGACGACTTTTTTGACTTTTGAAAGTAAAACTTTATTTACAATACATATAATAATTAAAACAGATAAAAAAAATAACAGTGATGCACTTAATATAATAAGTGTTTGTGAATCATATACCAATAATCAACAACAAGTAGTACGTAATACATGAGAAAGTAACCATTAAACAATTCATAAAAAAACAATAATTTCGACGGTAGAAATTGAGAAAAAACATAAATTGTACTAAACACTGATTACAAATGATTACACATCCATAGAGTGTTTCAAAACGATTAAATTATGGGATTTCATAACTTCCAACTATGAGCTTCTTCTCAAGACAAACTTATCACAAACAACAATTAAATCAACCATGTGAGATCAATATCATCTGAAAGAAAGAGTACATTATTGTACGACCATATCTTATGAAATAACACCAAATTGTTTTGTAATTTGTGAAATTCATAATCAAGAATGACTCTGTTCTTGATTCTAAGTTTCCAAAAAGGAAGTGGATCAAGAAAACTACTACATTTATTAAGTCATGAACTATTTTTATTCCAATTACATAAACTATAATTTGTGAAAACATAGCATACTCACGTCCATATAAGCCAAGGGGTCCTTATTTTGGTCTTAATGCATTTACTTGCTAAAATAATGGGTTTTAGATTACTTCAAGAGTTCAAAGTTTAAAAATCACAGGGTCATAAAATAGTCATAAATCATGTACAAGATATCTTGGTTATACTGAAAGAACTTTAGAACCATTGAACAGATTTTTATTTATCAAACTGGGCTCATTTAGTTGTACAAAATGTAAAACTCTTATAGCCTTTGACTTGATGGATATTATGATGCTGAGGAATAATATAAGCACAATCACATTCATCTCAATTTTTTCAAAATTCACAAACTCTCATTTACTTTTGTTGTGTTGACCTTAATAACAAATGATGGTAGATAATATTCAACGTGCAATGCCCTGAGATGTCATGTGAGGGAGTTCCTGTTTTGTTTGGCCCACTCTCAATATATCGACAAAACATTGAGTGATATCACATTTTTTTATAGAAAACAGATACATGTACTCACAAGGTGTGAGGTGTGAGGGAGTTCCTGTTTTGTTTGGCCCACTCTCAATATATCGACAAAACATTGAGTGATATGACATTTTTTTATAGAAAACAGATACTCACAAGGTGTTTGTTGACCTTATCACATGAGGTTTCGGTAGCTTAACTACATTGGAATTACTTCCTGTCAGGTTTATTTTCTTTCAGCTGTCATTATTTCCTTTGAACTTTGAAAACAAAAATGAAAGATAAAGTTAGAGAGAAAGCGGATTATACAGTCTTGTGGTGATTTGGGTACCAGCCATACACTTGCACCGTCAAGTGAGCATTTCCTGTCACACGTGTACTGAATGAATTTTTGATTTACATGCACCTGCCAAAATTGGCAAGCAAGACAACTTCTCCTTTTGACAAAGAAAAACTATGTCAAAATACAAGGAGCTCTTATTTTCTTGTGTCCACGTAAAACATGACAACAATGGCCTTACATTACACTTTTACAATTGTGGCAAATATCATGGGAGGAAAGAGATTATATATGATTATCTGTTTCAGCTATTATGATGGACTATGAAGTATGAAATCAATTCTAGGAATGTTGATAATTTCATACCAGACGATTCAGAAGCAAAAGTCACATTGTCATAACAAGAAATAATATATGGGTATGAATATTGGGTCAATTTTAGAGTTTTCCAGTGTTAATGCAATTCAGATCAAAGAAAAAAAACAAAACAAATACCGGAAAATGACCATTTAGTTTATACTGTGGAAACAGCATACTTATCTTACTACTGAAGAGAAGGTGTCTTATCAGTGGAATGCTTCCTAGTCTTGTGTTTGCTGTGGTGTTGTATTTGATGTTTAGTAGATATATACTGATACTTAAGAAAAACAATTGTTTGTGCCACAAGATTTATAAGAATCCTTTTATTTCCCAAGTAGACTTCTATTGGCTCAGACCCTTCTATGCGAATTCAAGATTTCAATTCATACTTTGCTTTCCACAAATGTAAATCGTAAAATATGTTTGGGTGTCAAGTAATTGGTTATAATATTCATATGACTATTAACCTTGACTAGATTAAAGTTCCTTTTAACAAAATATGTATACAAAACATGGTGTATATCTATTTGTTATCTCTATGTAAAATGAATTTCGTTTTTTTTTTAAATATATCATATCAAATCTTTCTGTTTGCATTGACATTACATGTACCGGTAGGTTGGTTGTGGAACCTTGTTATAACATCATTAGGTCCTACTAATAATGTGTGCCATGAACATTGGGTTTCAAGGGGATCTGGCACCTTACAAATGTTGTCCTATTATTGTTGTTGTTATTTATTTTTATTTTTATTATTATCGTTATTATTATTATTATTTTTTCCTCCATATTATTAATATTCTTTTTTTTTCTTTCTTATTTTATCTTTACAGGCTCTATCTAAGATATACCAAAATTGCAGTTGTATTTCTGGCAATGTTTGTCTGCACAGTAAGTTCTGCAAGTTATTTTATTTCATTAATTTAAGATATTGTACACTATATAGCTTTGGTTAAAATATATCCCTGAAAAATAAAGACTTGCTGACATGATTTGAATGGTTTCTTGGAGTAGTGTAGTACTTTGTCCACCATAGATTATGGCCATCCAAGAGTATAACAAAAGATTATTTAATGTCTTACATGAAGAGGCAAGAGATTGTTCAATGTCTTATGTGAAGAGGCAAGACATTGTTCAATGTTTGATGTGAAGAGACGAGAGACTATTTGATGTCTAATGGGAGAGATTGTTCAATGTTTTTATGTGAAGAATCAAGCTCAGATAGATTATTCAATGTCTTATGAGAAGAGACAAGCGGTTATTCAATGTATTATGAGAAGAGGCGAGAGATTATTCAAATACTTATGAGAGGGGACAATTCAATGTTTTATGTGAAGAGGCAAGAGGTTATTCAATGTCTTATGTGAAGAGGCAAGAGATTATTCAATGTCTTATGTGAAGAGATTATTCAATGTCTTATGTGAAGAGGCAAGAGATTATTCAATGTCTTATGTGAAGAGGCAAATGCGTGGCCATCCCTGAACTAAAGCGGGAATATCTTGCCTATTATTAAGCATACTTGATGCCCCCCCCCCCTGATAATAGTGGCTAACAATGAGGGCACCCTTCCATGTTCAGCTCTCTGAATCGGTGTAAGACAATGATCAGTGCAGTATAGGGCTAAATTTTTGTCCATGTACACCAGATGGTAAAATAGTATCTGATATTGTTAGGAATGGCAATGTATAAGGTTTTTTTTGGGGGGGGGGGCACTGGGGCTCCCCCCCCCCTTTTCCTGTAAAAAAAATAGGAGGAAAGGAGGACAAAAGGACAAATCATGGGCCGATGAAATCCTGGATCTGTTTGAGATTTTTGAAAGGATTTAAACTCAATTTATTTTATTGAGACTTTTTAAAAAACAGAAGCCATACATGTAACTGTAAACTTCTTGAAATTTTTAAACTCTTCATGTACTTACACATTTCCATTATTAGTTTAGCTTGAAGGAAATCCCCACTTGTATTATGTAAAATGATGTCTGAAAAAAGATACCTGAAAAATCTTTCAGAAACTGCTCATTACGATAATAATTAGTTGAATTTCATGATTATTTTATTTTTCTTCTCATTTTGTTTCAGGTATTCTTCACTCTAAAAGATGAAGTGAATCCTTCGCCTGAAATCTTCTCTATCACACAGGACAATCCTTATTGTATCCTTCCTCATATTCTTTAATCCTATTCAAATAGGGTATTTTTTATTGAAAATTATTCAAATTTCTAGTAATTGTATTTTTATATATTTTATAAAAGTCATATTATATCTTATAAAAGTCATATCTGAAATATATGGACAAAAATCTGTTCAAGATTTAAAATTTTTCAATTATAACAACAGTGTATTTCGTTACCGTACATTGAATTACATGTAGATCATACTCTTGACACTTGCTGGGAATGACACTGCCGTTTGCATATAATATATATTATAAATCTTCTGTTAAGAGCCAAAAAGGTGTTAAATCTACATTGTTATAAAAAAGTTAATGCCCTTCTGGCTCACAACAGACAATTATTCATTGAGTGCTAAACATTGTGACATACATGTAAATGTCAATGTAGTAATGGCAAAAGCCATCTTGAATCCAAACAACTTCTGGTACCAGTTTTTTTAACAAAATGTACTGAAAACTCCCATTGTCTGTAAAATCGCCTCACAAGAAATTCTATTCAGTGCTTTTTTTTTCCTTAATCCTAACCGCTGTACCAGTATCAGAAATTAGAGATCTTGGCAGTAACGACATTATTATAGTCACCTTCAAGGGCCCTATCGTTGAGTTGGGCAGCCTCAACTCAACAGAGAATATCACCGTCAGACTGGTTGGCAGGGACCTTTCTCTAGAGGGCGTCATCTGCTATGAGTATTCAGAAGTTTATAACATCATTCGAGAATATCCCCTATCGAAAAGCATCTTCTGGGAAGAAATGGAGAAGAAATTTACTGATGTCAAAGAAGGGTAATTAAGCTGATATACTAGGAATACATAAAACCTTATTTACAATAGCGTTGTATATTTCCTCTCTCCTTCATCCCTCTTCAACTACACGTACAGAGGGGTGTTTCACAAAACTTGTCATCAGTGAAATCCTTGCTTCTGATTGGTTATCAGCAGATTCGTCACTGATTTATGTCATTTGTCATCGAAAAAAGGCTTTGTGAAACAAAACCCTGGTCTCCATTCCTCCATTTCCACAAGGCTTAAAGCACCCAGAACAAAAATGAGCTGGGATTACAGAGCATTCACTGCTGCTGCACCCTGACTTTGGAACTCCATTCCCCACTCAATCCAAATCTCTCTCTCTCTCTCTCTCTTGATTGTCTATCCTGTAAACTCTGCACTGTTTTGTGAGCATCATGGATGAGTTGATGTATAAAACACTTTATTTTATTCAGTACTTCCACTGAAATGTTCATAATATTCATGACAATCTCACTCCAGACAAAACTGTGCACGGTCCTCTCACATCATCATCCCTCAAGACGATCTAATCTACCACTCGAGATGAGATCCAATCACTGCTGCACTGACTTCCAGTTAAAGACACATAGAAGTCAGCTCTCATGGGGAATTCCACACAGTTCGGGTGTTTACCCAATAACGGGTGTTGTCACTCACCAGGGTTAGCCTTCAGTTTTATGACCATTAGACCTTATGTAGTGCTTTGCTTTTCTCTCACTCAAAGACTTTCCAAGGGACTAAGGGGTAATTCTTGATTGGCCTACGGGTTTGTAACTGTACAGTTTGGCGCCTAACAATTAAGTCTCATGTTATTATTTTTACTGCATCATATATTATTTAATTGACAACTGTTGTTTTATCAATTTTCATCTCTTAGATGTGATGATAATACCAGTTATGAGGTGAGTTTTGAGAGCAACATTGATGAGTTGGTGACCCTCGAGACCGAACATACCATCTTACCCTCGTCATCAAAGAATGAGGTCATTTGGGCAGCTATTATCTTAGTGGCTGTTTATATCCTGATCGGTTTTGAGGTATGTGCTAGTATACAAAACATTTCATGTTTGTGAGAGCTTCAGTGAATATGTAATATTAAATTTAATATCAAATAAAGTAATTACATGGAACTTTTGCAGAGTAAGAAAGATGAAAGGCAAATACTGATAAGTGGGCATTGAACAAAAAATGTATTTTTTAGATGTTTTATGCTGGTGTCTAGTGATCCTGCATTCTTTAACAAAATGTAATCAATTGTTTTATTCTCTGGAGTAGTTAGCTACAAATGCCTGCTTACTAGCAATGGCCTATGTCTTTGGAATATGAATTATTGTTGTGGTGTTGGATCTTAGTTCAAAATTGGAGTGTTTAAAGACATATTGTTGACAGTTTCCATGTGCAGTATGTCATAAATCACTTACACTGGCCTTGGTTGAAATACCATTAAAATGGGTGCTGAAGACTCCCACACTATGAAGTTGGATGGTACACAAAGAAATAGTCCCCAGTCTCTTGGAACTCTTCAGATGAGGGAAATTTACGATGATGAGCCTTTCTTATAGGGCAGTTGGTGGAGGATGCAGTACATGACATTAGACTTGTCGGTTATGAGGGTGAAGGTAAATCCTGGTAATTGATAACCTCTGTTACCGGGTGAATCCCGAATGGTGTCAAATTCACCATGATAATCCATGTTTATGTGTCTATTGCACGAATAAGACATGTAAGGTATGGGGGAGAAAGATTGTTTAGAGACTAGGAAAGTGTAGCAGTCTGGTTTAATATTCTTTGTTGTTTTGTTGACAGTTAATACACAGGACCACTGCTGCCATGTTAGGATCTTTTGCCACGCTAGCCGTGTTGACCAGCTACAACCAACGTCCACCTCTAGAGGAAGTGATGGCCTGGTTGGACTATGATGTTCTTGCTCTACTCTGGGGAATGGTGAGTAGGGGATGCTCCCATGTTTGCTCCGTTGACAATTGCTTCTGGGGGGAGTTTCACAAAGATGCTAAGTTAAACTTAACACTAAGTTGGACTTATAAAATTATGGAAAGCTGTTAGTATCTTTAAAATATTTTGTAAAATTTATATTAAAACGCATAAAATGTTGATTCAAATCATTCATATTTTCTATTATCAAGGAGATTTCATGTTCTTGATGTGGAATTTATGAAAAGTCTAAAATACTTGAATTTCTGCTTTTGAATAAATTTCATTTTAAAGCTACAAATGGCTCTCCATAATTTGTAAGTCCAACTTAGAGTTAAGTTCTACTTAGGATCTTTGTGAAACACCCCCCTGGTCTTATTTCATCGATGATATGTGGTTACGGTTGTAAGGGGTGTTAGGTTAGGTGAAGGGTTCTGGCTTCTTTATTGCAACTTTGTATAAACAGGGTTGAAGCCTTAACAAAACCCTCAGATCAATGAATTTAAAAGATTTCTCTCTGGATATTGATAGAAGTAGTAGTACTATATTATTATTATTATTATTATTGTTGCTGTTTTTGTTATTATTATTATTATAATTATTATTATTATTATTATTATTATTATTATTATTATTATTATTATTATTATTATTATTGTTGTTTTTGTTATTATTAGTATTATTCATTTGCTCTTTGCAGATGACCATAGTAGCCATCTTTTCTGAGACGGGCTTCTTTGACTATTGTGCTCTGCTCTCCTACAAGTGGGCTAAAGGCAAGATCTGGACACTGGTCACCATTCTTTGTCTCTTCTCTGGGATCGTATCTGCCTTCCTGGACAACGTCACAACCATTCTACTCATGACTCCTGTCACTATCAGGTATTTGATTGGTCTGTTGCATATCACCTGGGGTTGTTTCACAAAGATCCTAAGTCAAACTTAAAAGTTGGACTTGAACATTATGGAGAGCCATTTGTAGACTTAAAATAAAATATATTCAAAAGCAAAAATTCAAGTATTTAGACTTTTCATAAATTTCACATCAAGAACATAAAATATCCTTGATAATAGAAAATATGAATGATTTGAATCAACATTTTATGCCTTTTGAAATAACTTTTACAAAATATTTTTCATAATTGTTAAGTCAAACTTAGAGTTAAGTTCGACTGAGGATCTTTGTGAAACACCCCCCCCCCCCCGATCTACACTTATATTCATTTATATTTTCTTCTCTAGCTGTGAAATTTTTGTGGGTTCTGGTGACAATTGCTCTAGTCAACATCTTCCTACTACTGCTACCTCAACCTCGGCCTGTGGCCTTGATGAAATATTGCGTTAGTCGGGAAATTCTGAATTTGAAGGTTGATATATTTTGTTATATTGAACTCAGGAGCATTCATTATTTGTTCTCTTTTTGTTTTTCTTCCAGCCTTTGTGAGGTACTCAACATTGATCCTAGACACGTATTGATAGCCGAGGTAATTTTCTCGAACATCGGAGGGACGGCCACGGCCATCGGAGATCCTCCGAATGTCATCATTGTTGCCAACTCTGACATCGAAGCAGCAGTGAGTATTGTCTCTAAATGCCACCAATTGGCATCCTATTACAAACTTTTTTTTGTTTTCTTCATTTGCAAGACATTTTCAAAATAAATACCATTCTGTTTCTGCATTTTGAACTCAATAAGACCTTTAAATTGCAAAAGAATACATTAAAGCTAATCTTCAGTGCTGGTATGGGCATTGAATGTCAAGAGAACATGACTATAATTTATTCTGGATTGCTAATCCTGCAGTAGATTGATTGTTTGTACCTGTAAATTAAAAACGACCTAACAAAATCTTGCTGGAAATCATCTTCAATTTTAAAAAAATAAAAAAATCCCCTCATTTACACATACTTACCTTGATTTCCTTATCTTTCTATGCTCATTACTCGGCCCCTATACATTTTCTACCAAAATTGTTTGGCACATGTCATTTATTTGTAATCTTGAACATTCAATTTTGATGGATTCTGTGAGAATTTATTCTCTATCATTACCAGAACTCAAGCTTATCTTTAATATAGGCTTATCAACCTCACTTATTATAATATTATTAACCATGAAAACTTTGAACATTGTAAGATTGTTATATTGCAGGATGTCAAGAAAACATAAAATATGGGATTTTTTTTTCTTCATCTTTTTATTCATATTCAGTTAGAGATTTTACAACAATTTTTTTCTTCAATCCTTTATGTAAACATGTAATAAATTCTAACACTCTTCATGAAAAATATTATCATTATTTCATGATTGTCTTCCTTCATGTTTATCTAGCTTTTTGTTGCTTTTTGTGTATCATCTTCAAGTGTAACATTCTGTTCAATTTGTTGAGTAGAATTCTTTGGAATGATATTACAATAGAACCTGTTTTGATGAACACTATGATGGCAAAGTCCTGTTTTAGCAAGGGCATTTTCAGGTTCCATTTCCTTGTACACTATTGTTTTAAAGCCCTGGGCCCCATCGCACAAAACTTAACATTGATGGTAACTTTGCCATCAATGGTAACTACCATGCAAAGCTTGATTTTGATTGGCTGTTGAGCCCTGTTACCATGGCAGATACCATTGATGGCAAAGTTACCATCAATGGTAAGTGTTATGCAATGGGCCCAGGTATACCAAGGTTTCATTATTAGGTCATTTTTGTTTGTCTAAAGGAGTGTGGTAAGACACGGCTCCCCTTTATTACATTAAAGTTATGAACTCTCACCTTATGTTATCATTTTGTGCATGTTGAGCTCAACAGTTGAAAATTACTCATTCATATTTTATCATGACATTTTTGTCTGTGTGCATCATTGATTCGATTCAAAATTCAATTCAATTAAAATGGTTTAATTCATTTAAAAACTTTCGCGGCCAGAGAGCCAAATTGCAATTTCTTTTTACAATTTATATACATCAGTGACAAAGTAAAATTACATGTAATACATATGCGTAATAACATTATGGTATTAAAATTCCAATTTGTTTTGTATACCGGCATATAATATATATAATATATAATTGTGCTTCTACAACACCTGCTCCTGCTAGTATTGCTCAGCGATTCAGTACATTAATCAAACTCCTAATCCCAACCCCGGACAAGAAACCTACTCCGCACCCAACCTCAACACTAAGCAAATTCAACCCCACATCCCAGATAAAAAAAAAGCCTTGAGCAACATGGTAATTAATACCAAGGTCCCTTTCATAACAATATCAATTTGATGAAGTTTCACCTTGTGGTATAATATATGTTGCATGTTAAGCACGACATAATGCAATGACAGTTTTAGAAATAGTTTTACTCATCCATATTTATTCATTCATGACATCTTTGTGTACATCACTGAATTAATTCAATTTGACAGGAAAAGAGGTATCCTTATATATTGGTGAGTATATGATGAACATTTTTATTTCCCCAAGTGAATGCTCTACTAGCGTTGGTTGTTTCCTTTTTGTGCTATAGATTGGTGTTGCTTTGTTCTTAATTAATTGTGTTTATCCACTAATCTAGTATTGCATGTTGGTGATATGGTGATAACGGTGTAACCTCGGTGCTAATGGTCTAACCTTGGCGCTAACAGTCTAACCTTGGCGCTAACGGTCTAACCTTGGCGCTAACGGTCTAAACTTGGCGTTAACGGTCTAACCTAGTTGTTAATGGTCTAACCTTGGTGTTAACAGTCTATTACCTTGTTGTGAACGGTGTAACCTTGGTGTTAACGGTCTAACCTTGGTGTTAACGGTCTATTAGCTTGGTGTGAACGGTACAACCTTGGTGTTAACGGTCTAACCTTGGTGTTAACGGTCTATTACCTTGGTGTGAACGGTGTATCCTTGGTGTGAACGGTACAACCTTGGTGTTAACGGTCTAACCTTGGTGTTAATGGTTGAGACTTCTGGGTATACATACTTTTATTCCTGCTATTGGTACTGACAGAGGATTACATTAAAATTACATAAAAATATGATTTAGATACATCAGGAGATATATAAAATCCCCCCTCCCCCCCCCCCCCACAAAAAAAAATGAAATAAATAAAATAAAAGATCACAATCACAACAAAGGTGGGAGACTTTAATAGTTAAGGGTTTCTCCCTTAGCAAAAGCCGCATGGCAGTTAACTAAAAGTCATCTTTTGTGTGTGTTCTACTCTACTCACAAGCTGATTTTTCTAGTGTAATTACGTTCTGTAGACTTGTGATACCTCTTAACAAGAGTGGTACTTCAATGCCATATTTTACTGCTGTATATTAAACAGCATGGGACCTTTAAGATACAGAAACGGAAGATATTTTCTTTGATTGCTTCCTGTAAATGTTTCCTCTCTCTTAGTGCTGGATTAATGTTAAGCCATGTGCTAGTCAGTTATCCACCATAACAGTGCTCTTAGCATTTTAAACCACCAAAAAATGTAACTGAATAATTTTTATTTTACTATGAAAAAAAGTGTATATGATAAGAGCTCACGATCAATTGGGCAAAAAGAATTTCCATTTTCGGTTTAACTTAATAAAATTTGGAGTGGACTTTAAAGAATTATTATTATTATTATTATAAATTTTGAAGTAAGATATTATTAAAAAGTATTTGTATCAAGATAAAAGATATTAATAAAAACATGTTTTGTGAAATCTTAGTCGTGAAACTTGTTTGTAAATGTTGGTGGCACTGTAATGGTCAAGGTATATGGTAACAGGAAGAGGTGTAATTTTAGTTTTATTCTTGTTGTCTACCTATCTGTCTGTCTATATTATTAATATTATTGTCATTTTTCTCGTTTGCATGAAAATCCCTCCATATCTAGCCTTCATGTTTTACATGCTTTACATCCATTTATTCCCTTTTTCCATTCATTTGCCCCTTTGAAAGCTGCCAGTGACCAGCTCTTAAAATGCTGCATGGAGAACATGGAACATCGTGCGTTGACTGGAAACTGAGATTGATGTGTTTTTCTAGGAAAACTAATACCTTCAAGTGTACCTATTACCTTAAAAATACTTGGTGTATAGCAAGAGTGTTTAACATCAGCCTCAAGAAAACTTTACCCACCATTCTATATGCCATAAAAGGATAGTAAGGGGTTTGAAGAAAATAGAGAATAGCTTAAAACTTGGCGCACACGGAACCCGAGTCAGGTTTTGTTTCTGCACGGGACTTAATCTATCTAAGTGTGTGCAGATGCGTTGAGTAGTCTACGTATCAAAAGTCACTGTTTTGTTTACTGCATGAGTGTGTCTTTTAACCCCAAATCAACTTATTACAAGGCTTGGATTGCTCTTTAATTGTTTTCAGATTTATTATATTTTATCAGAGCAATGAATGTAGCATGAAAAGAAAATTGTTATTGTTGCCAATTTGAAAAGCAGCATGTGAGCAGTTTAGCCCGGCCTTAAAAAAATCCTGTCCTGATCTGGTGAAAGGTATGGGCATAAGGCCTAAAATAAAATCTTGTTGTATTGCCCTTTGGGAACCAAAACATGGGTCGGTCGGCCAGAATTTTTAATTTTTTTAAAACTTTTTTTTTGTTGCCCTCTTTTGGCTGATATTTCTCAGTTTTTAATGCTTTAATACATGTGTTTCAACGTCATCATTCCATCGATATCTTTTCGATCACCTCATAATTATCCATGGTTTGCACGAGTGAGAATTTTTTAATAGATTGATTTTATTCATTTATATCCCATTCAAACAAACAAAATACCTTTTTTTTTAAAATTCATTAATAAAAATAAAAAATAAAAAAAGGTTAAAAAAAATAATAACTATTTCAAAATACCGACCATAGATTTTCAGATTTTTGGGTTGGTTGCAAAGGGCAATACAACAAGTTTTTATTTTAGGCCTAATGTAGGCCCTGTATTGGTGAAGTCTACACTCAATGATTAACCCAAGATTATGTGACATGAAATGTAATGCTTTTTGCATTGTTAGAATGAGTTCAATACTCAGAAGTTTTGTTCAAGTGCCTCATGCTTGCACTTTTGCCTTTGGCATTAACTGGACTGGGATTTGAACTTAGAACCTACGTGTTTGGTGTCAGGGCATGATTAAGAAACACCCTCTAGACTACCATAAGTTTCTTACCTCATGTTCTCTTTTTGTGTTTTATGTATATTGTATAATGTTAAGTAACAAATATATTTCATATTTGTTATTATAAAAGAAGGGTCAACCTTTATATAAGGATTATGTTTCCTTTCAGGTTGCAACCTATTCAGTTTATTTTATGTCCTTGTCCAATATGTTCTTAATGTGTATTTTATGTTATAAAGCTGATTGTTATGTGAAATGTTGTCTTTTTAAAGACCGTCTGTCCTAGTGTGGACAGGAGGGATGAGACCTCCCAGGGTGGTGACTGACAGGTGGTTATCTCATCAAATCAGCTGTCAATTGACATAAGAAAAAGAGGATCATGGGATACCAACAGGCACCGATTAGGCATTGTGTTCTATATAGAGGGAGCAAGTAGTACAGTGGGCCTTTAAGTGAATGAAATGAAATTGAATTTAATTTAAATTTCTGTGTATTTCCTCCGCAGGGCATAGGCTTTGCAAATTTTACACTTCATATGTGTTTGGGGATAGTCTTCTGTATGATCGCAGGGTATGGAGCCCTAAGGCTGCTCTATAGAGGCATCAATCTCCATTCTATGGAGCCGAAAGCTATCAGAGGTAAGCAGGTTTAAAGAGAAGGTTGAGTTCTGGGAAAACGTGAAAAATACTTTGTGAGCGTTTTTATTGTTATTATGCAAGTGTAGAAGAACATCAGATTAAAAATGTTCCCTGGAAAGCATGGCTCTTCAAATGCTTTCACATTCTAAATATGGCACGTAACAACATAAAAATCGGGACAGATTTTTATGCCACATGTTTGTGTAGCCTCATATACATCTTTCTGTGTACAGTGCTTGTAACTTAATTACCGAGACTGGGCAAATTTCTTATCATCATTTTGATGATTCCGGAACCTTGCAGTGTACACACCAATGTGCTAGATGATCAACTTTTTCTGATCAATTCCACAACATTTCTTTTTCAATGCAATTGCATGACCAGAACTCAACTTTATCTTTAACGTGAAATTGCTCCTGAATTTTGTGCATATATCCATTGTCTAGCCTTGTATGGTTGAAGGCATTCATCTTCTCTTCATTTTTTTAAATACAAACACTTGTTGCTGTGCACCCAATATTCTAAATATTGGGCCTACCCCCAGGGGCTGAATATCTGTCAGGTTTCAACACACTTTTAATGTGGGTCAAAATCTGTAGGAAATCTCAAATAAACTGATTTGACTGTAAGGTGTAGGGCTACCTGTACACATTTGTTTAATTTCCCATCTTTTCTGAATAGAATTGAAGCATGAGATTGAGATATGGCGTCGGGCAGCAGTACGGATCATGGTAGCGTCCAAGGAAGAGAATACAGTCAAAGCTTTACTGCTCCAGAAAGTCTCCCAACTTGAAACACAACTCAGAAACCAAATTTATGAACAGAGGTAAGGACGAAACGGATTAATGATAATAGAAAGAAGGAAAAAAATACTATTCCTTTCTTGTATAGCACATATCACATATTACAATGATATAATGTCTCTATGTACTTCTTAAGGACTGTGGATATTATTATCCCAGCTTTAGCTCTGTCTTTAGCGCATTTCATTGCGTCTAAATTTTTGCATGCCCCAGAGAAACACATGTTTTGATTTTTTTTTAAATTTGCACAGGGAAAAGAAAAAATTGTGCACGGTCACGTGGTGTCATTTTACCAATTACCTACATTCTAAAACCTATTTTATTACATCAGATGATTAAACACCAATGTCACCTTTGTCTCATCTCGGCCAGAAATTAGAATTACCTTTAATTAACTGGTTTCTGTTGAACTATTGTATTTGTTAAAGTCTTTTCCATCTTTGGTTTCAAATTTTACAGACATACTGCTAATGAAGATGTCAACTGGAGGGAAAAACTGCAAGATTTAGAACAAAGGGTAAATAAAATTTCAACTCTTATGCATTGGTAATAATAGTAATAAATGTTTCTTATACAGTGCTTAACCATTTACAACCCGTTCAACCAAAGCATTTACAGTATTATCATTACCTTGATTCAAGTACTATTCCACACGTTCCAGTGCACATTCTCCACTCCCAGGGAATATTCTAACTAGTCACATTTTTATGGGCATGCAATTAGTGCTAATCCTTTCGCATTGTTCTTTTCAGGTCTGCCAATAGATAAACTAATTTACCAAATATATCAATTAGTAGGTGGTTTCCCGGCAAAATTTTTATCATCATGTATTAGTCAAAACATATTCTTTCACATGATTGGTAAATGGTAATAAGAGCTTCCATTTAATTTTTTGAAATTGGGGTGTTTCTCAAAAAATGTAAATTCTGTAGATTTGTGACCACGATTTGTACCTCCATTGGGAAACCAATGTCAGTAAGTGATGAGAAAAAATAGTGGCATGAACGGCCTGCCATAGTTAAGTTCAACTTAAAGATGAAATTCAAAGAAAATCACAAATATGTCAACTAATGTATTACTAGAAACTGCCATCGCACAGGTTTTAGGTCAACTACATATCGGGTGATTTATAAAAATTTAAATGCAACCACCTCCATAGCAGCGGGGATATACGAGAGATTCGCCAGGAAAATACAGATGTTTTAATGACGTCACTATATGGACCAATACTGCCCAAGCAGAGGACATCCCATAAAGAATGAACATAATTGCAATGCTATTATTTGTCAAATTATAATGAGTTGAGTGTATATAAATGTCATGGCATGTCAAACCTTTCAAAAGGGGATATGACCCGATTCTGATACCTAAAATCTTTTGCTTGTAAATAAACAGGATAGGGATTAATTCACAATCAAAGAAACCAGACTTTTAAATTGAAAAACCACCGGAATGATATTAAGGACGGCATTCGTTCCCTCTTTAAACACCGAACATACCGCGGTGTGTGCAGCTGAATATACAATGGCGACAGATTCCTTTATTTTTGTATCGCTGCATTTGTCATCAAAATAAAACCATGCGTGTGGTTTAGAGTGAGGCAATAGATTATACATTTAGCCTGACGGTAGTGAAGTAAGAGAAAGAACTCGAGAGAAGATGAAAACACAGGCACTGAAAATGTGTGAGATGTCATGGGACATCGTCTGCTTGTGCAAATCATGTCCATACTGTGATCTCACACATCTCAGTAGCGTTCGGAGAGCTCTGTAGATGCTATGCCGGGGCTGTATTCAAGCATTTTGTAATTTATAATAATCATTACTTCGAATGTTTCCAGGCATTAAATTTTGATAACCTTGTCAAATCAAAGTTTCAACTTTGCAATAATGAAATAAAAGTTAGTTTTTAATATCAATGAATATCTACTTTAAAGTCGATTTTAATCTTTGTGAAACACTCCCCTTGGTGTTCAAACCCACATTTGCATTCCCAGTGAGGTGAATAAACAACTCAACTATGACACCTCTTAGGGGATTAACCTACATCGTATGTAGGATAGGAATGGAATAATTAGCTGCCCTTCTTCAAAATGGCATCACTGGTATCCTACGCCTATTTCTGCATATTACTGAAAGTCATGTATTTGGGGAAAAGATATGTATACAGAAACTTTATCGGAAAGTTTAATTGTTACCAATTTGAATGCATTTACAATTATTGTAGTACTATGTACGCTGTAATACACTGTATTTACCGGTACTTTACTTATTTTTTTATAGTTTGCTTGTAAAGTACCTTATAGAGAAGCCTATGAATACTATTCACTTTATAAACACTGCATGATTGTTATTATTTCAACTTATTAACTTCTTTTTGTCCGCAGTACCGCATCACAGATCATGTCTTATTGGCGAAATGCAGCTTCGTATTGCTAGTCACAATACTCTTATTCTTCATTCATTCAGTAGTAGACACCATTTACTTAGATCTTGGTAAGTTTATTTGATCATTATAGTTATGAGGATATGATTTTTACTGAGCAAATTATAATTCATGTTATTACAGTGACAACTTGGAGAGCATTGAAGCTATTCAAACCAAATTTAGATGAATATGTATGAGCATGCAAGGATGAAGCGATTAGATTTGGGGTGGAAGAGGTCAAAGGTTAAATACAAGGGTCAAGATAGAAATACCAGAAATTAACTTGTTACTGTGATAACTTGAAAAGCATTTATTTAAAGCAATCCAAACCAGACACAAATGAAGTATATTTATGAGCATGCAAGGATGAAGTGATTAGATTTAGAGTGGAAAAGGTCAAATTTCAAAGGTCACAGGGTCATAAGAGTGTCCAAATAATACAAGAAAATACAACCTTATGCAATAACTTGAAATAAATGAATCAATTCAAACCAAGCTTTAATATATGAAGTATATATGAGGATGCAGGAATGAACTAATTAGATTTTGGGTGAAATAGGTCAAAGATCACAGGTCATAACCCCCAGAAAATCCCAGATAATATGTTATTACTGTGATAATGGAACAAAAAAATTAACTCAATGTCAATCAAACTGGGCTCAATTATTTAAAACCACTAAAGAAATTAAATGACAAGAATGTAGGTCCGTAAGGTCAGATTTTAAAAGTCACAGGATAATTGATCAATGAATTTACATTTTGGCGAAGGCGTATTAAAGACGCAACCTTAGTCATCAATAATGTGGCTTCTGACTTATGATATTGCCATTTTTTAGGGCTTGTGTGTTTGTTTATAATATTGACTTTCTGTATTTCACTGCACGCAATTTAGTTAAACCCAATGCCAGGACTAAAGTTATTTTAAACAAACAAAAGATTTAGTCCTCATTTACTCCGCAACTTGGGATGGAGCTTAAATCCAGTGTTTTGTTTCAACTTTAGTTGAAAATGGACCATTTTATTTTCAAAAGGGTTTTATAAGTGTTAGTGTTAATACACCTGTAAATCCTCTGTATTTACTCTCGTGTTTATTAATTCAGTCAGTTTCAAAACAAGATGCAGTAAATCATGAAGGTCATTAGATATTGATAGTATAAAAAGCTATGATTGTAATATTATTATTATTAGTATGATATTATGATATATGATATGATATATATCCAGATGTTATGAAGAGAATTGTAAAGTACATTTTCTTATTTGTCAAAAACTTTTTTTTTCTTCAGGTTGGATATCTGTTATTGGAGCAGTAGCTATCCTTCTTTTAGCGGATGTGCATGATATTGAGAATGTTATGCATCGTGTGGAATGGGCTACCTTGCTCTTTTTTGCAGCTCTTTTTGTTCTCATGGAGGTGGGTGTTAATATTTTTAATGGGGGAGAGGAGGATGAGGGGAAGAGGAAGGGGACAAAAAGGAAGGGGGAGGGGGAGGAAGATGTTGTTGATATTGAGAATGTCATGCATCGTGTGGAATGGGCTACCTTGCTCTTTTTGTTCTCATGGAGGTGGCTCTTAAAGTTTGTTAATGGGGGGGGGGGGGGGCAAAAAGGAAGGGAGGGAGGAGGGTGTGGGAGAGATGTGCTTGTTATTGAGAATGTTATGCATCATGTGGAATGGGCTTCCTTGCTCTTCTTTGAAGCTCTGTTTGTTTTGGTGGAAGTGGGTATCAAGAAATGTTGTAATGGAGGAGGAAGTGGAGGAGGAGGAGGAGGAGGAGGAGGAGGAGGAGGAGGAGGAGGAGGAGGAGGAGGAGGAGGAGGAGGGGGGGGGGATGGAGGGGGCAAGGAGGAGGATGTGCATGATATTGAGAATGTTTTGCAACTCTCTTTGTTTTGGTAGAGCTAGGTCTTCATTTTGATGAAGGTGGGTTCCAACAATTGTTTTTAAAAGGAGGAAAAATTTACTAGTATCATCATCATTATTATGTCACGTTGTTTTGATTATACAGGGTTTAACAGAGCTTGGTCTGATTGAGTACATTGGTAACTTTGTGGCTGGTATCATAGAGGTAAGTGTGTCCTGCTTTCCCTGCATATAAAGGCATCATTTAACAATGTTAAATCTGAGATGCATGGCCCTACGTGTTATCAGTGTCTGTGATATGGTGTAATATTAAGGCCTTAAAAAAATTGCGCTTCAAAATGACCGAGAAGTGCCTCAAAAAGTAAAAATCTTTGATTGACTGGTTTTTCCATACTCGTTTTCCCCAACTGTAGTGTTATGAAAATCGTTAGAAAACAGTCAGAACAACGCAAAACTTGGTTTTGATTTCCAATCATAAATATCTTGATAATCAGACAGGGGTTCCTGACTGACCTAAAGGTTTATAATTATCATTGCAGCATGAGCTAAATCCAGGGATTTGTTTCAGAATCTGAGACAAAGCTACCATATCAATGTCAATGTTTTAAAAAATCCTTTTTTTAAACTTTTTTTTTAAAAGAGTGAACAAATCCAAACAAAGGGGTCACGTTTTCACTATTTTTGCAAACCTGGGAATACGGTGTACAAATTTTTGCAAAAGTAAGGTACTTTTTGTCATTGTGTACTCAATAAGACTAAATACGGTTATTTTGTACCTGTTTTGAGCCAGAAATGGGTCATACTTTGTGGAAATGTTCTTGAAAGTATGCAAATAAGGGGGACATTTTTTACTCTGCTACGTTTCAAAGTCAAAATGGTTTGTTTGTTTTTTCCTGACTGCTAATAAAGCATGTGTATGCTTGTAAGTAAGTAACCAGATGGCTTTAAGTCCTCTTGTAATGAGATTTAATGGCTTATCAAAGGGGCACTAGTGCATGGACTTGGTATTTAACCTGGGACCTTCCAGTTACAGGACCACTGCTCTACCACTGGGCCATAGCGTCTCTCAGAGAAAACCAAAATTCTTGTTTGTTTTTAACCCTAGGATGTGCCTCCAGAAGCGAGACTGGCTGTAGCTCTTATTCTCATACTATGGGTGTCAGCCTTAGCTTCATCTTTCATCGACAACATCCCATTTACAACGGCCATGGTGAGTAGATACCTCCTCCTCACTTGTGTCTCTTCTTTACTGCAGCAATCGTTTTTAAAGTGTAAATGACTGGTAAAGGCTGATATGACTTGGTAAATCACAGCAAAAACATTTGCGATGTATTAAATTTATTTGACCGATATGAGAAAATTTGCACTGCATGCTCATCATAAATGCATGAGACAGGACTTGTCCTCCAACAATACCATTGCCATATTGAAATTCAGAAGAATGAATTTGGGATGATTTATAGTCTTAGTTATAATCTTTTATTATTCAAATGGGATTTACTGTAATGAAAATTATTCTTCATACTTTTACAGTTCTGAGTAAAAGCTTTGAACACTTCTGAAGCTACATGTAGATTTTCTAGAACTTTGAGATCATTGTGCTTTTGACAGTCAAAAGAACTGATTACAACCAACTGATTTTATTCATTAAGGCAAGAAGTCAAGAATGCAAAGGGCTGTTCTGGTACCTTTGCATTGTTTTATGAAATATGTTGTTTAGAAATGAAATGTGATGTTATTTTGAACTTGATTGTACACTGTCATGTAATTCAGCTGAGGCTGCGAAATGATAATAATAAAACAAACTAAACTGATCAAAAAAAGAGGGGGCCAGTTTTCACAAATCCCTTGTAACAACACATGCTTCAATGGTACCAGATTCAGGACGGGTCAAGAAACTGGCTCTTGAAACTAAAAATCCTTTTGGAAGATTTTAACATCTTTTTATATTTCCATATTTATCAGATCCCTATTATCCTTGACCTTGCGGAGCGAGAGGAGTTAGGGCTCCCTCTACAGCCCTTAGTGTGGGCGTTGGCCTTTGGGGCATGCCTAGGAGGCAACGGAACGCTCATCGGTGCCTCAGCTAATGTAGTGTGTGCTGGGATAGCCGATCAGCATGGTTATGGCTTTACTTTCTATGACTTCTTTAAGTGAGTTTCATTATAAATAACATCTTTTACCATTGTCAGCTTTTTATATGCCTCCGCTACAAAGTAGCAGGAGGCATTATTTATAAAGTACAGTCCATACCAGAGAGATAGCATTACCTGGAGGGGCAAATAAGTATATTTTTACGCTTCAACATCAAAGTAAACATCAAAGTAAACATCAAAGTAAACATCAAAGTAAAGTAAGTAAACGTATACATTCAAGACTAAGATTGTTTTTAGAATACTACCCCAAAACTTCTGACATGACTGATGATGATAGATCACTGCTCATATAATCTACTTCAAGTTCATGAGATGTTTCAGCTTTAATTTTGTTTTATCTCTTCATGAACCAATAATCAGTCTTTTGTAATTTTATTTGTTATGACAATTACCATCGTTTACCATCGTTTACCATCGTTTACTATCTTTAAAGAAATATGTATAATATTTGCGTATCTTAAATCAAAGTTCCCCACTACTGTCCTCCCATTTGGAATTTTTTGCACTAATTAATTTGATATTTATAATAATCGGTAATTCATTTATATTTGTGGTAATTCTACTTATGTAAATTGTAGATCTTTTTTTTTTCTGTAAAACATCACAATCCGGCTGTGAACATACATGTTTCAATAAATCTTGAATCTTTCTTTTCTAGGGTCGGATTTCCCATGATGCTTTGCACCACCTTTGTTGCCATGATCTACCTCTTGATCTGCCATGTGGCGTTTGAGTGGCACTAGCCTTCCTTCGATCAACACACCTGTAGATGGTATGCTTTGGCCTGATGCTGCAGTTCATTTTTACACGACTACCAAGGAAGCATGTACAGTGAAACCTGTGGGTAAAGACCACTCAAAGGAGACAAATAAATGTCTTTACAGGCAGATGGACTTTATGTACAGGTTCCTTTATTATAAGTTTCAATGAGAACAGATTTTAAGAGAAACTAGGAATGTGGTCTGTATATAGATTAGACACTAGCGCTCTGACTTTGTTTCGAACACCTGACATCCTGATCATGAAACCACTGCTCTTCGACTGCCTTCTGGGATATTAATGTATCTACTTATTTTTTTTGTGTTTAAAGGTACCCTTCATTATTGTAAGCATTGAGTGTTTCATCAAGGAGACCCAGTGGTGTTGCTTCATATTCAAAGGTGTAGCACACGATCGTTAAGCTTAGTTGAAAATGACTGGAAGTCCAGAAAGTTTTAATTAGACAATGACTCATTGAAAGAGACATCTTTCCGTTATAGAAATTATCAGAAACTCAAGACAGAAAGAATATTGTGGATTCTTTAAAAACTTTTCTGTAAATGGAATTCTCTGTTAGAAAAATTACAAAATAAAAAGTCAAATGCATTTTCTGTTCTTCTTTTCTTATTTTTGTACTCGTATAGTCTAGATGTGTTAGGAATAAATGGTATTTGGATTTATCACTTTTGTATTGTTATGTATTATGTTTATAGCCATTTTGCATTTAAGCAATGAAAGAATTATTTGTCAAAAGCAAGAGCTACAAATTAAATGAAATATTTGCAAATAAGATTTATATATTCATACTTATAAACTGATATGTTGTGTTGTGCAAGTACTTGACCTAAAGCAAGACAATGCTATTTTGTGTGCTTAAGGCTTTGATTTTCTATTATACAATATAGTGCCTTAAATCAAAGGGAAAATATTGATGAATTTGTCTGTTTGTTTGAAGTAAATGTTGTGTCATCAGCTGTTAATCTCGGTCACAGAGTTATTATGATTATTATTAGATAAAGACAGTCATGCTGATGTATATGTAGCTTTCCATGACACTCTTGATTACTGACATATGAAAACAGAAATCATGTGCTCTGTTTGTGTATCTTTTTTTTCTTCATTTGAATATGATTGTTTCATGGCATGTAGATCTATTTTTGCCTACATTTGTAGTTGAATGTTTATAGATATTCTGAAATGGTATTACTAGTGGAGTGCATACAATTTACATCGCCTGGTAAAACATGTTCCCCAATGGAAATTTCTTTAGATTAAAGAGGGGCATGTGTGTGTGATTGTGGGTGATTTTTTTTCTCTGTTGGTGTGTGCATGTGTGTGTGTATATATCATATGTTTAATTAGGTTTTCATAGACTTGGATCAATAAGACTATATTATTTACATCTGAGGACTGTCCTCTAATGTCACTATTAAATCAATGTGAGTTATTGCCAATTCAGTACTGAAATTTGCAACTCTTTGATGCTGCGTACATGTGCATTCAATTTAGCAAGTTTTACTGCCATAATAATAATAATGATAATAATAATGAAAATGGTGATGATGATTATAGTTATACTAATGATATCAATAATACTTATATAATGAAACCTGTCTATAAAGACCACCCAAGAGAGACAAGAAAGGTGGTCTTAATAGGCAGGTGGTTTTTATGTACAGGTTCCTTTAATACATGTTTCAATGAGAAACCATTCTCTAGGGAAACAGAAAAAGAGGTCTTTGTAGACAGGTGGTCACTAAAGCAGGTTTGACTGTACTACTTCTACTAATGATAGTAACGACAATAATGATAATAGTAATATTTATAATACTACAATAATAGTTTCATGTAAATAATGCTTTCTATGTAGAGCTATATTCTATTTTAAATAAAACAAACTTGAACACAATCATGTTATAGATACAAATGTATGCATTTAAACTATTTTGGATCATCATAAAGGGAAAATATATCATATGTATTGCTGCCAATTAGAGGTATACATAATGTGATTTATGCTCATGAATTTTTTTTTCTTACAGATGCCTTTTTGTCTTTTGTTCTTCACGTATGTACAGTGTATTTTTATGATTTTTAAAGTCTATGTACAGAACTATCACACAGCGTTGAGAATTTCCAATAATTGCAATAATATTGAAAGAATTCCAAAAATCCCATTGAAATTGATCAGCTGATATTACTTTTATATTATATTAAGATATACATGTATATTCTGATGCTTTATATTTTGCTAATTGAAAAAGAATATTTCTGTATGTTTTTCATTATATATTTTGTATATTGGAAATAATTTTGTGTAAGTAATGATGAAATGGCATAAAAATATGTGCATTTAAATTCGATTCTGATTTATTCAATGTATTCTGAATATGATATAGATGTAATGTCAAACCAATGAAGAATATAACAAAGGAATGAATACAAAACTTATGATTGGATCTGTTTGAAACTGTTCCTCTTTGTTTTATGAATTACAGATAGATTAATATTGTACAGTTGGACATTAGTTTCAGAGGTAGAGTTGAGTTTAGGTCATGTGATTGCATTGTGAAAGCCTGTGTGAAAGAAGCTCTAAAAGCGATTGGAAAAGGGTGATTATGTAGCACATGCAGTATAGGTGTATATTGGTCTGTAATCCTGTGACCTTCCGAAACCATCAAAATGATAAGAAAGTGACTCGGCCTTGATAAAAGTGCACTGTACACAGAAATACAAGGAATTGAGACTACATAGACATGTAGAGTGAAAGTGCAGTCCATACATTTCAGACGTGTCTTATATTTCAAACATGACAAGAAGAGCCAATTAATATTTGAAGAGCAATCCCGCTTCAGATCAACCGACAAAGTTGATCTGTTCTTCCTCGGGGTCCCAAAATAACTACAATAAATTGATTAATTAATTAATCAATGTACATAATTGACTAACATCATAACAACAACTATATATTCCCAGAAAACTACACCACCCACCCTTCCTATCCCCTGGCTTAATTCAATTTCAGCTGTATTGAAGGGTCTATTATCAGAAATTAAAATATACTTATAGTTCATAGCTCTTTTTATTTCTTCTTTCACAAACATTTGTACATAGGATTTAAAGAAAAAATGTAACAGAAACAGTAGAGTATCAATATAACAAACATAATTTGAAGTGCAATATTACTATTCAACATACAACTCTTGTCATTAACAAAAGAAATTCTATTACTTATATGTTAGCTCATGTTCTGTACATGAAAGAAAGAGGAGACCTTGAAACTGGGCTTGTCAGAGCAAGGTCCCCAAAAGGAATATAATACCTGAATCTTTTATGTAGATGACGTTGACTTGCTCAGAAATTTGTCGCCCTCTAGTGGCAGCTGATTTTTGGTTCGATGGAGCAAGCTGAGTTTGTTTGTTACCGAATGTTTTGATTTGTCAAAAGTCGTATTCTGAGGGATATTCAGTTCACAAAAGGGCACAGAGGTCAGTATATTTATATATATGATGTTTGCTTGCAATTAAGTGCTGTTATGTAAAGGATTATGAAGATTAATTTGGATATAAAGCCAAGTCTGGCTGTATGTAGCGATACGTTCATGTACACGTGTAATGTGTGACTGTGTAGGAATTTACGTAGAACGGTAAAACCATTTATGAAATATTGCATAAGGTGAAGAGAAATGACTGATATATTATGACTGTATGAGACAGGTTTCATTTATCATAGTTATGAAAGTACTTGTATTAGGGTAATTTAGGACAAAGATAAATGAAGTTTACAAGGAAGGGTCTGGAAGGATCTACACTTTCTACTTACATAGAAAGGCATATGTGGGGCAATGAAAGGTCATTGTTCTTTTGTTATTGGAGTTGATTCAATTTAGTTAGGCTGTCAAGTTACAAGGAGCCATAGAAGCCTTATGAATTGTATGACATAATGATTATAACGATTGGCAAGGGTTTATAGCCAAGATTATTTTGCGTAGATGATTCTGTGATCGATCGAAACTGTAATCGATATAAATGCTCATTTCCTTATTTGGTAACGTATTGAAGCATTGCAGTTGTGGTTAGATTCATTTGCATATTTACTTATTATGCTTGCAATTTTTGTCTTTGTCATACAGTTTTCACGGAGTTACATGGATGGATACGGAGACGTAAAATAAAGATTGACAACTCCCGTAAAAGCTTGTGTCTGACTGAATTTATTGGGTTTTCGTGATCGACAACAGTTACAGTGAAAACTCTTCCACAGTGAATCCCTACCAGAAGATTCCTTGTTTCTGCCGAGACTGGGAAGCTACAGAGACACCTGTTAATCATGACTGAAGAACAACCTGCTCCGCAGAAGCGACAGTCAGTCCCCACAGAAAGGAGCATCGAATACCAGCTCGATCTGAAGACTAAGAACTTCAGAAGCAGTGTGACCTCCTGGCGACGTAAGGCCAACAAGCTAAGAGCTGCACTAATAGATGATGTTGGTTTTTCTGATGTCAAGGCTCTTCGAGATGGGTTACAAGTACTGATGGACACTGTCATCAATGGGCAGGAGAACCTCGCAGAGTTACGATTGTCCTCCGAGATAGCTGATGATAGTGAGGACAAATTAGAGGAAGTTGAGAAAGAACACAGTTCAATCATGAAAAGCACTCTTGACAGGATGATTGTTCTAAAGGAAGATGAAAAGAGCGATGATGCATCTTTGAGGCAAGCAGTCACTTTCGATGAACCATCACCTGTTGATCCACCATCACCTGTTGATCCACCATCACCTGTTGATCCACCTGTTCATGAGACTTCACCCATTGACCCTTTGAGTCTCTTTGCAGAACAGTTGAGAGCCTCACGATTGCCTCTACCTGAACCGACTTCATTTGATGGCAATCCCCTCTTGTATCCAGGTTGGAAACACGCCTTCGACGTTTTAATTGATCGCAGTGGCATCACGCCTACGGACAGGTTCTTCTACCTTGAAAAGTACCTGAAGGGTCAACCCCTAGAGCTAGTAAAGGGATATGCTCTGATCGACAACGAAACAGCATATCATGATGCCAGAAAGGCTTTGGAAGAACGGTACGGAAATTCCTTTGTCATAGCTAAAGCCTTTCGAGACAAGATGGAGAGATGGCCTCGAATAGCCACAAAGGATGCACCTGGTTTGAGGAAGTTCTCTGATTTCCTACGGCAGTGTGTTACAGCAATGGACAAAATTCAGAACCTTCATCATCTGAATGACGACTGTGAAATTCGTAAGATCCTGACCAAGTTACCTGAATGGTTAGTTGTACGCTGGTCCAGGAAGGCCTATCACTGGGCAGACAGCTATGGCGGCTTTCCCCCTTTCAAGCTCTTTGCTGGTTTCATCGAGGAGGAGTCAAAGATTGCTTGTTGTCCCATCACCTCTGTTTATGGATTGAGGGAATCAAGATACGAGAGAGGAAAGGCAGCAGTATCAGAAGTCAGAACATTAGCAACTGATGCTACTAGCAGTAGGAATCAGAAAGGAATGGGTGATAGAAAGACTGTATCCTGCTTGGTCTGCAAGAAGCCACACTCCTTGGAAGAGTGCCATACCTTTTCAGCATGGGAGATGGCAGAGAAGAAGAAATTTATCGTTGAAAAGGGCTTGTGCTATGGGTGTCTAAAGGTTGGTCATCGATCAAACGAGTGCAAGAAGAGAAGCACTTGTAAGGAGTGTAAAAGGAGACACCCAACAGCACTCCATGTTAAAGACTGGGTGAGGGTTAACGCTCAACCTTCAAATCAAGATACAACCCAAGATGAAGTGAGGTCATCAAGCTCACACATTGCAAGGAAAAGTAATGGACAAGAAACACTCAAAAGCTCGATGATTGTTCCTGTATGGTTGTCACATAAGGACAGTGTAGGAAAGACTAAGACTAATTTATGCATGATATTGTTTTTTGTCTGGTTTGAATTACGGTAACTGGAAATTTTTTATTTCAGTTTAGGCTTGACAAGAAGTCTGAAAGTAAAGACTAGAAATGTATTGCTTTGAAGAAAACCTAAGTATGATTCTGATTTCAGAATCAATTTGTAAGCAAGGTTGGGCAATTCAACCATTAATTATTTGTCATGGTTTAGAGTTGTAAATTCTTCTGCGCACTGAAGGAGTAGAATTTCTGGATAGTTTGCATTCAGTAAGTTTGTCATACCCGTTCAAGTCAACGGCAAATTATTTATGCAGGTTGATGCTCATTTTGAGTATTTCAATTTGATTTGAAAGGAGTACCGGTATAGTGTCCAGAAATCAGAAGAATTCCAGTTTTTTTTTTTTTGGCCTATGAAATTGACAATTGGTCAATAAGTTGTTTTTGTCATTTTCAATTTTCACTTGTGTGTATAAGGAAGTCATAGTTTTTTCATGACAACAGGGCAATCAGTGAATTTACACCAGTTCGGATTTCTAAGAATTTTTAAACGTGCTTGTGCTCATTTAAAACGGTTTGATAGGAATGTAATACTTACATGTACATGTTATTTCTTGATAATTGGTAACATAGATTACATTCCATCTGATATTTCAGACCAGTGGTCAGAACCTTGTTATTTTTACTAAAATGTGAAAAATTACTTGTTGAATGATATTCCACGTATTAATTTGCATACTTAAGCTTGATGTAATATCATGCATGTATATAATGTGAAGTACGTACTGTACAACTTTTTGATCTCTGTGGAGTTATCGGTTAATAACTGGCAAAGAAATACCTATAGAGGGTAAATTAGTTTCAGTTTTTCAACTGATTTAAAGGAGCCATGTAGATGACGTTGACTTGCTCAGAAATTTGTCGCCCTCTAGTGGCAGCTGATTTTTGGTTCGATGGAGCAAGCTGAGTTTGTTTGTTACCGAATGTTTTGATTTGTCAAAAGTCGTATTCTGAGGGATATTCAGTTCACAAAAGGGCACAGAGGTCAGTATATTTATATATATGATGTTTGCTTGCAATTAAGTGCTGTTATGTAAAGGATTATGAAGATTAATTTGGATATAAAGCCAAGTCTGGCTGTATGTAGCGATACGTTCATGTACACGTGTAATGTGTGACTGTGTAGGAATTTACGTAGAACGGTAAAACCATTTATGAAATATTGCATAAGGTGAAGAGAAATGACTGATATATTATGACTGTATGAGACAGGTTTCATTTATCATAGTTATGAAAGTACTTGTATTAGGGTAATTTAGGACAAAGATAAATGAAGTTTACAAGGAAGGGTCTGGAAGGATCTACACTTTCTACTTACATAGAAAGGCATATGTGGGGCAATGAAAGGTCATTGTTCTTTTGTTATTGGAGTTGATTCAATTTAGTTAGGCTGTCAAGTTACAAGGAGCCATAGAAGCCTTATGAATTGTATGACATAATGATTATAACGATTGGCAAGGGTTTATAGCCAAGATTATTTTGCGTAGATGATTCTGTGATCGATCGAAACTGTAATCGATATAAATGCTCATTTCCTTATTTGGTAACGTATTGAAGCATTGCAGTTGTGGTTAGATTCATTTGCATATTTACTTATTATGCTTGCAATTTTTGTCTTTGTCATACAGTTTTCACGGAGTTACATGGATGGATACGGAGACGTAAAATAAAGATTGACAACTCCCGTAAAAGCTTGTGTCTGACTGAATTTATTGGGTTTTCGTGATCGACAACAGTTACATTTTAATTACTTTGAAGAAAAGAGAAGAAAAAACGAAACTAGCTTATAAGACTAGAAATAATTACACATGGGAAATATTTACAAAAGAGATAGATTGATATATATATATGAAAATGGGGAGATATATACAAAAGGATGGAGAGCGATAGCGCAAAACGGAATATAAAAACAACAACAAAGAAAAGGTTGTGAAAGAAGAAAGTTATATTTAGGGGAAGAAATAGAAGAGAGAGAGAGAGAAAAGAAGAAAAAAAAAGCACAATAGAGCAAAATAGAGCAAAATAGAACAAAGCGAGTTTGTTATAGATGAAGAAATGTTGGCAAGGTAAGCCAGCCTGGAAAAGAGGGGGGGGGGGGGGGGGGGGAGGAGACAATGAAGCAAGACAATGAAGTCATTACATACTATCATATGCGATGACATAGTTTTTAAATTAAATATTTTCAGCATATTTACTCAATGTAATTTCAGTTTGTGTTTAAAGACAGAGACACTAACAGAACGAGTTACATCAATAGGAAGTGAGTTCCATAATACACATTACAGTTACACTTTTAGGCTACATAGGTGAACATAGATTTTGTCTGGTGGCGTAGGAGAGAATTTCAATATCTTTTTTTTACAAACATTGGAATGAAAGCCTTTTTTTCTCCTGCATTTTTTTCTTCTTCTTAATGAATTCCTCCTTTTGGCGCAAAACTGTGCGAGTGCACAAAATTACTGGGAAACAGTAACACTGTCAGAGATAGTCTTTAGATAAGAGACACGAAAGATGAAATATGGAAATAAAGTGTAAATAGATCGTGTGGTTTAAGTGCAGATTGGCTCGGCCAATGTCAGAATCAGGGATAACAGTTGTCTTCCCTAGAATTATGAAATAAGTGCAGCAGACAATGAATTAGGTGTCACGGTGAGGAGCCTCTCCTGGAAGGGACTTCGCGGTGAAGTAGAGATCGAGGGCATTCTCTAATCATGTGCGTTACTGGACTGTCTCTTGCGAGTATCCACAGAAGCAACTTTTTAAAAAGGCGGTTGTTTGCAGGCGCGGATGCAGGGCGGTCGAGCCCCCCCCCCCCCCCCCCCCCAAAAAAAAAAAAAAAAATTGTGACCAGAAATTTACCTTTTACAAAAAGGGGCTCACTACCCCCCCCCCCCCCCCCCCCAACCACCACTAAGCGAAATATCTACCGGCACGATTTTCAAATTTCAACACACTAAGTTTCAGATTCAGATTCAGATTAATTGTATTGGTCCATTGATTTGGAAATTCAGTTGTTGGCATTACATAAAGCACATGAACAATATACAATAGAAAATAATATACACAAATAGATATTACACGCGGTAGCAAATGTACAATGACATATTCATATGGAAACACGGATATAAATCGTTTTTACATAGTGGAATAATATAAGAAAATAGAATAAATAAATGGACTTACAACACTATTGAAAATGTACGATTGCGTAGAATTCGAAAATAGTATTGTTATTATATTGTAGTATTATTATTACGTTATTATCATCATTATTATTATTGTTACTATTATTATTATTATCATCATCATTATCAACAGTATATATTACATGTATCATTCTTTGTCACGGTTATATAGCTGAATTCTTTCTTTTTTTTCCTTCATAAATTAAACAGTATATAAGTAAACTTGGAATAACATATGATATCATAGGGTATTATTTATTTCTTTGCTCGTGATACTGGTACATTTGCTTGAAAAGGAAAGAAAAGGGTACAATGCAATTGATGATTAGTGAAGTGGCAAGATACAGGCTTATTCAAATTGACTGGAGTTGTTCATTGTATTTACGAATTGATTTCAAATTTGGACCTCCCCCCTAAGAAATCCTGGATCCGCGCCCCGCCCCCCCCCCCCCCGACCCCACTCCGAGGTCGGAATGACCGCATGCGTGTTACCAAAAGGTCCGGTAAAGGGGTACTTTTCACGCACCAAAGTCTGGCTCGTACATACACAAAATTGACTTTACACACCGGACTTAGAGGGTGTTTTCAAGAGGAGGGAACACGCATATGCGTACCCTAAATAACACTGAGTGGAGTGGGGGGGGGGCGGGATCCGCGCCTGGTTGTTTGTTGGATATATACGCCGGGGTAGATGCCACATAAAAAGTTGGGGATCGAGAGTGATTGCATGTCGTTGGAGGGGTAAGTGGGCAATTGATGGTAAGATGGGCACAGGTTGCATACATATATATTAGTTGATATATAAATATCCCAATGTAAATGTATCAATCTGTTTTTTTTTAATGCATTATTTCTTTAAGCTGCTTACAGAAATCGTAAATCTTTCGCTTATCAGTGAAAATCGATCATAATCATATATGGTACATGTATATCATAAACAATTGTAGCAACTTTGATGTACATTTTAATTTAAAAAATGAGTTGTTTACTACAATTAAAATTCGGAAGATCGTCATGATGGCATTTGCAGATTTAGCGGTTACGTAACCCGTCCACACATTCGCCTCTTTCTTAAAATATAAGGTTCAACCTTATTTGGTTTTTGTGCCCCCTTTTTAAAGTGATTCGGTAACATTGTTGGAGGTTCATGAAAAAACTGCGTAATATTTTTGTATGAAATCCCATAGGAAAGTGAAAAGTATGCCGCAGACCTGCCGCAGACCTGCCGCAGACTTTTAGTCTGCGGCAAAGAGTATGCCGAAGTATGCGGCAGGATGAAACTTTGCTGCAGACTTGCCGCATACTAGTATGCCACAGGAACAGTCTGCGGCAGATCTGCGGCAGGATGAAACTTTGCTCCAGACTTGGAGTGCCCCAACCTTTCTTTAAACAAATCCTGGAACCGCCCCTGATCCTAGCTGACGTCGGCTAGCTGTCTGATCATTTTAATACGATGGGTCTGTTATATTTAGTTCAACACATGTGACTTGATTGGCACATGCCTGGCTTGGATCGAAGCTCTTAAAGATGTCGAGTACGTTTACGAGCGGGAACATGACCGCGGCGCCGACCATGGTGCCGATGGTTGTACAGCCTCCGAAGCACATCATGGACATGCGGGACCCACTGTCGGAGCGGAGAATCAAGCCGATGGTCGCCCGGCAATAGGAGAAGAAGAGCCCCTGGCCGATCCACGCTAGAACCTGTGTGATAATCAGAATAACAATGTTATATTGTAATATTAAGAATAATACTTCAAGATGATCGCTAAGTCTTTCGAGAAATCAACTTAAGTGCAATTTCCTCCCATAGAATTATTTAGCTTGAAATACATGTTCGCACGATCGCACATTCAAAATATGACGAAAAGGGCTATTGAAATCTTTGATTGATAATGCCTTTATTGAATTTTCGAAAGACTTTGCGCGATTGGGTGATAAAAAATGATAAAAAATAACAAACTGAGAAAGCTAGAAATATAATAGGAATGATAAAGAGATAGTAAGAGTAGTAATAGTTGGACAGAAGGCAAAGTGGATGGTTATATGAAAATTAATCTCTCCATATACAATGTGGGACGTATCTGCTGGGTCTGTTGGAGCATTTTATTCATTTGGGTCTAGGTTTGGGAATAATAAGTACACATTTGGGAATAATAAGTACACATTTGGCAGTAATTGAGGGAAGATAATGAGACGATGTATATTATATATATTGTATAGCTCTTATTGAACATTGAACAGAAATTAATTGCTACAAACTTAAAAACCCACCTTTTTGGAGAGTAATTTTTTTCAGAAAGCTTTTTGGCACATTCGGGCGGCTACCGGAAAAAAAAGTCAGAAAAAAGTTTCAGGACCTCTATCTATACCCCTGATGTAGTCAAATGCAACTTACAATTAAGGTTTGCCCGAAGGTCTGTTCTTGCAGCGGAGGGGTTGGGCTGAGGGATGCTGTCACGATACAATAGCCGCCGGCAGTTACACCACAGAGCGATGTCAGGAGGACAACTGGGTAGCTCGTTGTTGGACGAATCATCACAAGGAAAAACCCAATAGGGACACTGATTTCCGCAAAGGTCGTAGCAAGAAGATAGATGTGTGACCCGTATGCTGCTGACGAGTAGCCCTGGATAGACGGTAGGACACCATAGGTGAGGGCGCTGATCAGGGTCAGAGTCGTGAAGAGAAATGCATGTCCTGCTGAGAAACTGCTTTTGGATGGACGAGAGTTGCCCTTCACGTCTTCTTTCTCAATAGAAATGTCGCTAGCTACAATGTTTGCCATTTTACTGTTATCATTTTGATCTTTTTCAGTTCCCATACATGTTTCCTCATTAAATTTTAAGTTGTCTTCGCAGTTTGAATGTACCGTTGCTTTTCGTTTATCTTGAGTTTTGTTTTCTTCAAAAGTGTTGTAACTTGATAACAAAGGTGTTATCTCGTCGTTATCTCGACGACGCGTGCAACAGTTACAGCAACTACACCACGATTCATACACATTACCTGGCGTTTCATCCGAATTTTCGTATTGCTCAGCTTCGTCATATTGGCCCCGAAAAAATGGAATACTTCGCAGGAGGCAAAATGATGTTGTACTGAGCGTCAACACAACAAATATAAAGATAAAATAACTCTGTGGAGGGAAAAGGGCATCTCCATTCCTCTCAATGGCCCATACGGTGCAGTTTTGACAAATTGTGACGTTGGTGTTTGGGTCCTTGGTGATGTTGATGAATGTATGATTTGCAACGCATTCATCTTCGCCACCAGTGCCTTGAATGAGCACCACAAAACTTGGAATCACGGAGCTAAGTCCTTCCCCTATGAAATACCAGTTCAGGTACTTTGATTTGAGACTGGAGATGAAAGGCATAAATGTCAGGTTGGACGTGCTGTCGACGAGAGCCATGAAAAACGCTAGAATAAGGAACGCGATGCTATGCTCATCCCCGGACCAGAAAGAAAAAGAGTCCCAGAAGAATATCAAGAGGAAACTAGCTGTGG